GTGGTAGAAAATTTTCTACTCTTCAAAACTGCTAAAGAAATTTGGAAGGCTGTAAGAGACAAATTTCACTAGGTTTCGTGACTTTCATCAAGAAGAGCTAATTGTCACCACATACTTCAACACCTTGACAAAGTATTGTTTACAATTTGATATATTCGTGACATGTATGGAAACGTTCACATGATGCTATGATGTTTAAATCCATTATTGAGAGGAATAGAACCATTAAAGTCCTAGTAGGACTAACTTAGGAATTGGATGAGGTGAGGGGGAGGATCATGGGAATAAAGTCCCTTCCAACTACGTGTGAAGCCTTTGCTAAAGTCAGGAGAGAAGAGAGCATAAAGAAGCTTATGCTGACTGGAAATGGGTTTCACCAAGTACTGAAAACTCAAACCTATTTACTCATAATTTCTCCCATAACTCAAAGCATAAGAGGAATCATGCCACATATGACTATTGCAAGAAGATTGGGCATATCAAGAATAAATATTGAAAATTTCATGGAAAGCCTACAAACTGGAAACCTAGACATGGAAGGAAAGATTAGGAGAAAAAGTCTAATGATATACCACATTTGAAGGATTGGTCGAACCATTTACTAAGGAGCAGCTTAGAGTATTGAAAAAACTTTTTAGAGGTAACTTAGAGCAGCATGCCAATCTCGTGAGACTCCAAAGTAATATATCCTTTTTCCCATCTTGGTAGTAATGAAAGATTTAAAACTTGGAGCATAGATTCATGAGCCTTTGGTCAAATGACCGGAGACATCAATGTTCTAGTCAACCATCAAGAGAATTCTACATCTAGATTAGTAAGACTTGCAGATGAATCACACTAAAAAATTGCTAGGAAATGGGATGTGGAGCTCTCAGGATATTAACCTTTCTTCTGTTTTATATGTTCTATAGTTGGGTTGTAATTTGATTTCAATCAGTAAACTTACTCATGATGTGAAATGTGTAACTAAATTCTTTTCAAACTCTTGTGAATTTTAGGGTGTAATCAGGGTGATTGGTTGTGTTGGAATGCATCAAGCTTATATTTGCTCGAGGAATGTCTCTCTCTAAACACAACTAATTCCTCCCTTTTCTATTGGCCTATGTTTGTAGAAATCAAGTCTTGTTATTGCATTATAATTTGGGTCATTCTAATTTCAGTTATATCGCTAAGTTGTATCATCATTTATTTATCAATAAAAAATATAGTTTTTATCAATATGAGATTTATTAATTTGCTGAACACACTTGAAATAGTTATTCTTTGACCTAATGCAAACCCTCACACCATTTTGTTATTATCTACATGGATATTTGGGGACCTTCAAAGGGGAAATCCTAAGTGGGGCCATATGATTTGTCTCTTTTGTTGATGATTACATTAGAACCACTTAGGTATTCATAATGAAGGAAAAATCTGAAAGAACCCAAATATTCCATGACTTGAGTCAAACTAATTTCTATTGTAAAATTTAGATCCTCAAAATTGATAATTCAAAGAAATATTTCAACTTTATTCTTGGCTCTTATTTTCAAAAAATGAAATCATTCACTTGAGTTTATGTATTGATATCTCACAACAAAATAGGATAGCTGAGAAGAAACATAGACATCTCCTTGTGTTATCCAGCTCAATTATGTTGTCCTATTAAGTTTTTAAATATTTTTGGGGGGAATCAATTCTTATTGCAACATATCTTATCACTCGAATGCCCAACTGTACTTTACTTCAAAACATTTTCATGTTTTGATGGTTATCTATTCTTACATCAGAGATTTCTTTTATATTATCCCACTTAAAATCTTTAGGTGCATATCATTTTTTCATGTTCATTCACAAACTCATACAAAATTTGATCCTAAATCCATAAAATGTTTTTTTCTTAGGTATGCCAACAACAAAAAAAAATATAAGTACTACTCTTTTGTTGTAAGAAAAAACTACAACTCTATGAATGTCACATTTTTTGAAAATCAATCATACTGCCGTAAATCTGATGTTCAGGGGCAGAGTGCAAATGAATATTAATTTTGAGATGCACTTGATGTTACTTACACAGCCTCACTACCTACTCTTAACCCTTATATCCTAATCAAGGATGCCCAACCAACCCAACTTGAAGTCCAAAACAAATAACTTTGTGTGTACACAAAGAGGAAGAAAAATCTTGAGTTGGTGGAAGACAACTTTGCACTTATATTCACTTAAACCAAAATCAGAGTCTGCATTCACCTAAAATTTCAGGTAAGGAGGAGTCAATTACTCATGAGTTATCTCTTGTCTTTTGATGATGGTGACGAGAAAGCTACATTAGATATCCAATTCAAGAGTATTTAGCTTATGAGAAAGTATCCTCATCCTACAAAATATTTATTTCTAATCTTGATAATACGCAGATTCCTAAATCTATTCAAGAAGCTTTTGAAAAATTTGATGAAGGAGAACAGTTTAAGAGGAGATTCAAACACTTAAACATAATGATACATGAATTCTTACTAAACTCCCTTAGGATAAGAAGCCGCTTTGGTGAATGTGGATGTTCAACATCAAATACAAATATGATGGAAGTATTGAGAGGTTCAAAGTTGGACTTGTTGCAAAATGTTTTACTCAAGCCTATGGAATCGACTATCAGGAGACCTTCGCACCAGTTGCTAAACTTAAATTATGAGAGTTCTCCTTTCAGTAAATACCTAACAAGAAATGGTGATTGTATCAACTTGATATAAAAAATACCTTCTTGAATAAGGATATGGAAGCTGAAATGTATATGGAGATACACCAGGACTTGTGAATGATTCCAACAAATACCTAATATGCAAGCTCGGGAAGTTTCTATACTAGCTTAAACAATCACCAAGGGCATGATTTGAAGTTGGCTAAAACTATGAGATCTAATGGACATTTTTAAAGTCAAATTTATTGTACTTTGTTTGTGAAAGACGCTCAGAGAGGTAAGATTGTTGTACTAATCTTATATACAGATATAATTCTCAGTGGTGATGATGAAAAAGAGTTTCTCAGATCAAGGAAGTGATTGCCATTGAATTTGAAATTAAAAATCTAGGAATCATGAGATATTCTCTAGGTATAGAGCTAATAAGGTCCAAGAAAGACATCATTATATCATAAATAGAATACATCCTCGATCTGCTAGGAGATAGGGATGATTAGTTGTAGGCTTGCTGAATACTCGAAGGAATCTCAACTAGAAGTCAAAAAGAGAGAAAAAAATGTCTCGGTGAAAAAGGAAAGATATCAAATATTGATAGAAAAATTCATCTTCTGGTCACATAAAAGATTAATTATTACATACTCTGTCAGTATTGTGAGCCAACACATGAATAAACTAAATGAAGAGCACTTAAAGATTGTGTACAGAATCATTGGGGAATCCACTGAAAGAAGATCCACCACAGGTTATTATGGTGACATGGAGAAGTAAGAAGCAAGGCAACGGTGCCAAATCAGAGTTTGGGGCACTTGTCTTGGGAATCTGTGAAGGAATCTGGATTCAGAAATTATTAAGGGAATTGGATTGTTACCCCAATAGGCTTATACAAATATTTTGTGATAGTCAGACAACTATCAATATTACCAAGAATTTCGTGCATCATGACAAGACCAAACATATTGAAGTTGACTTACACTTCAACTCTAAAAAAGTTAATGGGGGAATTACACAGCCATGCTACATCTAGATACACCAACAAGTTGATGTCTTCACCAAAGCTCTTCCTTTAAGCACTTTCTCAAAGTTCAATGCCAAGCTTGGTTTCTACAACATATACGACCTAGCTTGAGGGGGAGTGTGAAAATCTGAGAAGACATTGGAGGATTTGATTAGGATAATTTTGCAAACCCTTGATTACTTTATTTATTTCCTATTTTATTTTATTCTATTTTGTGTTCCGGAATTATTTTCTTTCCTAATTTAGGTTAGATATATTTGGTGAGTTTTGTAAATTAGGATGGATTGTTTTCCCTATTTATATGTACCCTACATGTGAATAATAAAGTAGAGAATTATTCCTCTCCCAAATTAGTTTTCTACAGTTACTATAGAGTAGCTTCAAATCAAGATTGAACCATAATTAGATTAAAATTTTCACCTCCTTAAAATGTTATAAATAGAAAGAAAAGAAGTGTAGCAGCGTGTTTGAGGGTAATCAATTTTTGTCGATAAATATAAAAATAGTGTGAAACTAGTGCAATGTTGTATTCGAGAAGTATAAAACTTGCGTGATGTCATGTTGGATAATGCATCCAGGTAGAGATCTTTTGGTATAAATAAGATCTTTGCTTTTATCATCTCTTCATGTAATTCTTGTATTTTTTTCTATTTCTTAAGGCTTCGTTTAGTGGTGATATTGGCTGTATTTGGTTTTGGGGAATAGTGCCTTTTTAACTGCACAATTATGTGGTGGCTTCTAGGTGTTGGATTGGTTTCTTTTCTCTCTTTGGCCATTATATGCAAATCTTAATGTCTTTATGTGATATTTAATCTCTTTGTTATTTTTTTACTGGTTCATTTTATTTGTTTTTTAATTGACACTTTATGTAAAAAAGTAGGTTTTTCCTAACGAGCACTAATTCATTGTAATCTAGTTCGGTTTTCATAGCATGGTGGCTAACTTGAGCATCAGATTCTCTTTTAAGGGAAACAGCCTTTGGGTAGGGTGCTAACATTGTTTTTTAAAACAGGTCGTGTAGACATTAATATTGTATTTTTGTTTGGATTTTTTTTTTAAATTTTCTAAGCCTTCTTTCTTCACAACTCTACGTAACAATTAATTTCAAAGAACATAGCAGTATAGGGGGTTCACATTAACCGGTGAAATATGGTAAATTCTTATGAAGATAGTAGTATTGTTTTTTTTTTCCTTTTCCAGGTTCTGTTATTATTATGCTGCAAGATTATCTTAATGTGACATACATATATATCTGTTTGTGTGTGTGTATTGTATTGTTTAGCTTGTATTCATAGTTTTTTGGTACAGGATTTGTGCAGGATGCAAGAAACAAATCAGTAACGGAAGATTTCTTAGCTGTATGGACTCTGTTTGGCACCCAGAGTGCTTTCGTTGTTATGCTTGCGATCGACCAATAACGGATTATGAGGTATATTTAAATTCAACAAAATAAAAATCCTTCTAAAAACTTTTATTGCAGCTCATGCTCTTTTTTGTTACAGTTTTCCATGTATGAAGATCACCCCTACCACAAGTCATGCTACCGGGAACTCTATCATCCAAAATGTGATGTTTGTAAGCAGTTTGTAAGTCCTCAGCATATCCTACTTCTCATTTTTGAAGAAAAGTAGCTCAATAGACTGCTATAAATAGCATATGCCATTTCTTTGCTTTTATGTATTTGTGATTATAACTAGTACTTAAGTTAACGACACATTTCATGATCATTTACTTTATCCCACTTGTTTGGTTCTATTTTGTAAATTTCATTTTCATCTCATTTATTAAATACTACTTAAGTTGTTTATTTCATGTAAATATTTTCTTACAATGTTCCTAATCTTTCCAGTTTAATTTTATTTCCTCATTTTTTTGGCATCTTCTACTCTCCATTGTAGATGCTTAAAACACCTATTTATTTGTCACCATCCTCAGTTTTATTCCATACTATTCATATATATTTTTTAATATAATCATTTCTCTCTGTTCATGCATTACAGACACATCCATCAAATCATTCTAAGCTTAGTTTGGTTCTTAATAACTTATTTTAGGTCCATTTAATTCTATTTTTTCTAAAATTGATTTTTAACTCTGCTATTCCGGTAGTGCATAACATTTGTAAACACTCCATCGAAATTCTATATTATGTAGCTAGTTTTTTTTTATATTAATCCTAAGCTTTTTTTTTCCTGAAGTTTGTTGTTTTTCTTTTTTCTATACAGGTCTTACCTTTTAGAACTATGAATTTTTGAATATCATGCATTAAGCTACGCAACTTTTAATTTTATTTATAAACAGCTCCATAATTAATATAAAAAATACTGATTTAATGCTAATCCTTGATATAATCTATTGATTTTGAACTTTTGGTTGCTCAACTACTTTTAATGCTAGTTAATATTCTCTCTCTCTCTCTCTCTCTCTCTCTCTCTCTCTCTCTATATATATATATATATATATATATATATATATTGAATAGGTAGGTTAAAGAATTGAAGCTTGAATTCTGGTAATGAGACCAGATAGACACAATTGGAGGTTCTTAACTGTGCAATTGAGACTATCCTTGGAAAACCTTTGCATGTATACTTACCCACAGTTCATTTCTCAAGTTGCAAGGATTTTGATTGAAAGAGATATTATATTACCATATGTAGAAAAAAGTCTGGTTTGACTCTGCTCACAATATTTATTGGCAAAAAATCATTATGGAACAAAAATCTTACTACTGCAGGCACTGCAAGATGTTTGGACACCCGCAAGAGAAATATTTCAGATTACACCCACAGTTGAGAACCAATAGTCAAAAGCAGAAACATATTATTAGTGCACCCCATGTGTCTGAACGCGCTCCCAACAACCTGATGACAACCAACCTGAAGAGGGAATCACCACAAGACAGAAGCTGGTGTCTGCCCTTGGGGTCATTTCTCTTGACCATACTACAATGGATAATATTCGAACAGAAAATCAGGATAGCCACACAGCTCATATTCAGGAAACATCAGATGTAGAGGTGACAATTCACACTTCAAATACACTGAAACTTATCACTGTGGTAATGACTGCCCTTCCTTCTACTGCGGTTCTAACATCTAATCAGACCGAGAATCACATGAGTCAGTCTTTAGATGAAGAATGACTGGTTTACACTTCTCGACGGAAGAAGGCTGGGGGCACACTCCAACTTGGAAACTTAATGGATGATACTTTAGTTACTTCTGGCAATGACACGACTCTTCAGAAATCTTCAAAATTTGTTATCTGGCTCCGCTCCTAAAAATAGAAGAAGAGACATGACTAAACTGACTCGTCCCTAGCTATCTGTTTTCTGCATGTTTTAAATTTTTTTTATATTTATTTAGTCTATCTGTATCTTTTTGTTGAGGTATTACTGTATGAGTAGGGTGCCTCTATTGGGCCCTCTCATACAACATTTATGTATCATTTCTATTTCAATAAAATCAGCCATTGGGCTTGCTTTATATAATACATAGAGGTTGTATGAGAGGACCAAAAAAAGATGTCCTAGCCATACGATACATCAGACACTAGCATCCTAAATAGATGAAACATAAATAAAACAAAAAAAAAAAATTGCAGGAAATAAGCTGCTAGGCACGATCCAGCTTGATCTTGCCTCTGCCTCTGGTTCTAGGAGCGGAGAGATAACAAATTGCTGAGTGTCGTTCCATTACCCGAAGTTACTAGAGTATCATCCATTAAGTTCCCAAGCTTGGGTGTGTCTCCATTCTTCTTTTTCTTTCTAGATGTGTATACCTGCTATTCCTCATCCGAGGACTGGCTCATATGATCGGTGTGGTCAACAGATTGTTGGGCATGTAGGAGAGAATGAGCCCCTAGCTCCTGACTAACAGTAACAACATTCTGATTCTGAAGAGGTGGTAAGCATGTCTCTTCAACACCTGATGCATTCTGGGGATGTGGAGCTTCAACACTATCATGATTATCGGACCCAAGTAAACCGTCTGCCAATATATCAGTCGAAAGAACAGAGACGGTATTGTCGCCGGTAGTGGGAGGGGAAGGTGACATCGTGTCAACCGTTGTTTCAATAGTCTGTGGAATGCACTCAGGAGCGGAGGAGGGACATGTATGAGGTGGGGCAGATCCAGAAGCGTTTTTACTTGAAGGTTTTAAATTCAGATGCAACTGATAACATTGAGAAAGAGAATGTAGAGAATGTCCAAGAGAATGTCCAAGCATACGACAGTGAGTACAATAAAGTGGTATCTGTTCAAGTTCTGCTTGCTTCCAAAATCCCTTATATTGTGTGCCAATCCATATTTCTCCCGAAAAAGGTAAAATAATATCTATTTCTATCAAAATTCTGGCTTCTGAAGGTCGAGTCAAATTCATTGTAGGCGTGTCAGCTTTGAGGGGTTTACCGTATACCATCGCTAAAGCGAAGAGAAGCTCTTGATAAAAAAGGTGGATCTTCAAACCTGAGAAGCGCAGCCAAACATGAATGGTAGGAGGTTCAGTACGAGGGTTAAAATCCACCGTCCATTTTAAAACCTTTATCACCTGGTTTTCTATTCAAAGAACTCTTCTCGCAAACAAATGGGTGTAGTTTTCGTCATTTGATAATTGAATAAGAATGTGACGACCATCCAATTTACCGATCTTCTAACCCCCTTTCAGCTTCATTTGCTCAAAGTCCTTTCGAATTAGCTCAAGTTTAAGGTTTTCATAAAGAAACTTACCTATTAAGAACAGTCAGCAGAGCGCAGCTACGGTGTAGATCTCTGCCTCAGTGAGAAAGATTGCAGGTTTGCCGTTCTTACGGGAAGCTTTTTTGAGAAATCTGGTTTCAATGCCAAGAGCAAAATTGTCGTGGTATCGTTGCAGAAACATATTCGAAAGAGGGGCGGAGACGGTGTTATCATTGGCGAGGGCGGAGATGGTGTTATCATTGGCGAGGGCGGCGACGTAGGAACGTCCTGAAGCCATTTCTTCAGGTCGATCGACATAGATCCGCCACAATCGACGACGCAAACGCGAGATGTCGGCTTCTGTGAGGAGCAAGACGAAGGAGGAAAGAGGAAAAAGCGATGCGGTCTGTCGACTTTGAACAGAGGCGACGAGATGCGATTCGTCGGCTTCGAAAGAGAGAACGAGAAGCGATCTGTCGGCTTTGAACAGAGACGACGAGACACAATCAGCAGTCGACTTCAAAGCTGCGAGCCAACAACGACGGAGAGACGACGTCGGAGTAATGATCTTCGATAAGGGTTGCTAGGGTTCGACATGGGTCGAAACCCTAGCAGAGCCTCTAATGGAGATTTCGGTCGCAATTGATTTTACTGCTGGAAGGAGAGTACCTCGCATCGACTCTGGCTCCGTCGTCTGGCATCTGCGTCTACGTCGACGTAGACGTTCGCAACTCCCTGTTGCGGCTCGCATCGCGATATTGCTCCACTGCTCGCATCATCGTCTTCCTTAATATCGCTACACTGCTTCTGCTCGATATCGCTCCACGACTCTGTCGTTTACAGCTTCGTCGTCTGCGCCCGATTGTTTGGTTTTCTTCTGTTTCAGCGCTGCTCTTGCTTCTGCGCCTGACAACTCTGCCTTTCTGCAATCTTGCAACAGTTTAACACTGACAGCCTTTGATGGAGTTTCCTTTTTCTTTGGTTGAGCGGGACAAAGTCTCCTTTGCCCATGTGGTGGGTAACCCTCAGGTGGAGTCCGCGGTGGTATTCCCCTCAAGTTATAAGGAACCTCGTGAGGGTACAAATAATTGTCCTTTTATTAAGAAGGGAAGTAGGAAAGATGGAAAAGAAGCAATCCTTTTCTCTGAATAAAAAATTTCTACGTTGACGGAAAAATTCAAGTTTGCTCTTATTGGAAAATTTCAGTGTGGACACCCTCTTATGGATGTTATCAGAAATAGAGTTGATGATCTTAAGCTAGTAGACAAGTGAAAAGCGAGACTCATAGATGTGAGACATGTGTTGATCCAACTAACAGTGGCTGAAGACTACACCAGAATTTTCTTCAAGAAATATCTTAATATTGAAGGCAAATCAATGAAATTACTCAAGTGGTCTCCTAATTTAGACCCAAATCATTAAACTCCCACTGTACCGGTATGTTTTAGTTTACCTGGTCTCAAGCTACATTTTTCATCATCAGGTTCTCTACTCTATTGGGGTTATCCTTGGAGATCCTTTGAAACTAGATTTGCATACATTCAACCTAACCAGACCCTCGATGACCAGAATACTTGTGAAAAGATATATTACTTTACCTTATGTTACTGAAGTCTGGCTGGGCACAACCCATAATGGTTATTGACAACAAATCGTCATGGAACACAAACCCCCATATTGTACCCACTGTAAGATGTTTGGTCATATCCTTGCTAAATGCCACAAGCTTCATCCCAATTTGAAATCTAAGGTTTAAGTGAATAAGGATGGGTTTAACCTCACTGCTGTGGACATTTTAGTTCCATCTGAGGAGGATACTACCAGACAGGAGGTGTCTGTTGCCGCTGAGGACCCCCTGACACTGTTGTTACTGTTACTGCGAGTGATGCGGTGCTGACACCTACAAACTCCATAGAAAACAATACTGCTGGACTATTACCTATAAATGATAGTGTTCAGACTGGACTGCAGACTGATAATCAGGAGAGCCTCGTAGCTCCACTTCTTCAAGAAGTATCCGTTGTAGAGACAACTCATACTTCACATATTCTAGAACCTATTGTGGGTACTACTGTTGGTATTCCTTTTGCTTCAGCTCTACCCCATCAGACTGATTCTTCGAAGGAATGACAGGTTTACACTCCCAGGAGGAAGAAGAAGAATGAAGATATACTAGAGTTCAGGAGTCTTATGGATGATACTTTGGTTACTACGGGTAATGGTCAGCACCTTACCAATCTGCTAGCTGGATTCCTACCAAGAACTAGAGCCAGAGGCAAGACTAGATTGGGATGACCCACACTTTTTCAGCGCTCGGGTGGTTTTTGGGTTTTTTTTTATCTATATGTACTCATCTTTTACATTTTTTTTTTGTGTGTTGTACCGTGTGAGTTGGGTGTTTAGGCCCACCCATACAAGCCTATATGTACATTTTTCTTTAATATATCAGCCCTTGGGCTTTTAATATATATATATATATATATATATAATGTGCTATTGCCACATTCTCTTTCTTCTTAATGTGCGCCAAATTAGTTATCAGGTATTCACGCACACTTCCTTAAATTTAATAAAATTATGATTCGTATGTAGATCTTTCTTCTCTGCTCCATATATTTTTTTTATTTTATTGCCTTGGCTTGCAAGTCACTTCTGTAATGGATCTATCAGCATAAATTCAAATTGATCGTTTGATATCAAAATTATTTTTTGAGCCAACATTCTTTCATCATTTCATGTAACTTCATTCTATCACTCTTTAAGTTTGATTTTCTTATAATTAATCTTTCCATTCTTTTTGAATTGAAGTATCCACATGCTTCTTCTTTAACCATTAAGATTGTCATTATCTTTAGGAATTTATTAATAAAAGATATTGGTAACTAAACTACTTCAATATCTCCTACAATTCCCAAATCACAATGAATAGCTCATGCAGACCTAAAGCTTTTCCTTTGCCGTGCCAATTATAGCTTATTTGTTTCATTTATATTTCTTATTACATGCCAATTACAAATCCATTCATACCTCGTCTTTACAGTTGCAATGTCCATTTAAATTACCACCATAAGTATCCTTTCTTCCATATGTATGTGTGTGTAATATAATATTCATCTCCTAACTTTGATTTTCAAACTATTCAAATCTAATTTGAGGAGTATACTCACTTGCCACATTTATAATGCTTTATATTGATTACTTTATCACTAATTTTATTTGCATCAATAATTTTATCTTTCAACTCTCCATTTATTATTATCCCTACACAGTCGTATTATTACATTCCCACCATAAAATAGCTTATTGCGTCCCTTGTCCTATTCGATTTTTCCCCTTTATCATGTTCCTTAATATTTATTTTTCTTTTATATTTCCACCAATTATCTACCCTTCACCTTCAAAATCAAATTTATATGGAAAATGTATCTTAGTTTTTTGACCTTGGGAAATCTTTACTTTTTATAACTATAGATTGGTTAAACTTTTGCATGTTAATTTTGAGTAGCATCTATGTCAACGCTTGCTTTCTTCTTACCACATTCAAGGTGTGGCATTCCCTTTAGCGGTTTTCTACTTCTTAGGAAAATGAAGTTGAAGTGCGCCAATTTTGCGGAATTTCGTTGTACTAGATTTTGGAATGAAGTCTTTCAAGTTCATGATTCCTTGCAGAGATTTCTTGCGAGGAAGGTATTTATTGTCTTTTAGTTTGTACTATTATGGTCTGTGATTAAATCGCTATTAGCAGACATCAACATGGATTATTGTGTGTATCAAGCTTAATTATTTGTAAGAAATTAAATCGTGGATAACAAAATGATTTCCATGTACATGCTTCCACAGTTCTGATTTTTCTGTATAACTTTGTAGAAGCTAGATTTTTTACTGAATCTACAATAGAAAACCTTGCAACATATTTAAAACGCTGTCATAATTTGGGGTGAGTGAGTTTAGTGTTGCCTCAATTTTTTTTTTCTTAATATGAATTTTTTTGAACGCCTGCATGAATTAAAAGAAATTCTTCTTCCTAAATTCAACTGATTGATGATAAATTTCTTAAACATTTTTCATTTACAGATTCCAACTAACATGAATGGACTCATTGAATACCGTGCACACCCTTTTTGGATGCAAAAGTATTGTCCTTCACATGAAGATGATGGTACTCCAAGATGCTGTAGTTGTGAAAGGATGGAGGTCAGTGTTTTTGGCATTGGCATGCATATTTCAAAGTTTTAGAAGTTGACTTCCATAACTTATAATTCTTTTTGTTTGTTTGTAATATCTGGTGGAGAATCTAATTTGAATTGTTGACCATGTGATTGTACTATTGCTTCTGAGCCATTGTCGTTTAATAATTGCAGCAACAACGCATTTACTTTTTCGTAACCTTAATAATGTTCTTTCCAATCTTTTTAAATTTGATTTCAGCCCAGAGATGCAAAATATGTAACTTTAGATGATGGGAGGAAGCTTTGCCTGGAATGTTTGGATTCTGCGATAATGGATACCCATGAGTGCCAACCTCTATATCTTGATATTCAAGAGTTTTACGAGGGTTTAAACATGAAAGTTGTTCAGCAGATTCCGTTACTTTTAGTCGAGAGGCAAGCACTAAATGAGGCCATGGAAGGAGAGAAGAAAGTAAGAAACCTTCATTTTTTTTATTCGTTCTGTAATTAGCTTAGAAAAATTGAGATTAATTATAAAAAATATATCTTGTTTCTAGGGGCACCATCACCTTCCTGAAACCAGAGGTCTCTGCCTATCGGAAGAGCAGATAGTCAGTACAGTAAGTTTTACTTAAGTTTTACTTTGCTGCTGTTTGACTCTTTTTTAGTGAAAGTGTAATTTATATGTTGCTGCAATTTGTCAATCATTATTTATTGGTTTAGCATAGTAGTATGTACAGATTGGCCAATATCTTGATAGAAATTAATTTGGTTAAACTGACTTCTTATTAAGAGCAATCATAAGTTTTCAAGAAGGGGCTGTGAATTTCGATGAATAGATATTAGCTTTATTCATAGAGACATTTACTGACATACCACCCTATTGCTATGTTTTTACATATCTAACACCTAAACTTTGCTTTTTACATTTACGCCACCCAAATCTTCCCTATCACATGAAAATTACCATTATTTTAACTTATAAAAAGTGATATTCACCTTTTCATACACAACTAAGGTGGTATGTATGTAAAAATTGAAGTTTAGGTGTCAGATATGTGAATACATTGGAATTGAGTGGTCTGTATGTAAATCTTCTTTATTTATATGTTGTTTTTTTTTTGAGTATTGTATGCTTCATGCAGTTTTATTATATTAGAAGATACCAAGGTTATCTAGATTGTAGTTGTATGTTAGATAGCCCGGGCATTTAGATGTTGTTGCCTGTTAAGTAAAATGGGACTGAAATGTTATTTAGATCTTTCTAGAGATGTCAAAAATTAAACTTACTTAAATCTGCTAATAATAAACCATATGTTAGGAGATCAAACGTTCCCTAAATCAAATAACATTACTCAAATCATTAGGAAACTAAAGTCGAATAGTACTCTTAATTGGCCTCACTTTTTAAAATGTATACATTTTTTGCAATAATGAATTTTACTTGCCTTATATGAATTTTCACTCGCTGACATGGAGATCCTCACCCAGATATTGCGGAGACCTAGGTTTGGCCCAGGATTCAGAATCATTGAAATGATGACAGAGCCGTACAGGCTCACTCGACACAGTGAAGTAACAGCAATTCTTGTTCTTTATGGGCTACCAAGGTACTTTCTTCATTTCATTTATGAAGTTTTAAACCTGTAATAATTATAATGTTGTTCTTTGCCTTTTCCTGTTCAAGGTACTGTCTGCTTTATGTTTGTTGCACACTAAAAAATTCTCAACCATAGAAACATCTTAAGCCTTAGCTAAGTATAATTTTCTAGCACACACATAGATAGAAAAAAGAGAATCAAATTTTTTATGTGGAAAAACCATGAAAATGGGAAAAAACTACCAAGAGTGGGGTAGAAGAAGAGAAGAGAAGAGCAAGCTAACAACTAAAGTATTTCTGGCGAAAAATAGTGCAGGTAAATGGCCAGCCGCAGTTATTGACCAATAAAAATGATTGTAGCCCCCGCTACAACTGTTGTAGCTACCAACTATAGTTGTAGCCAAACTACAACTATATAACTGTGATTGTTAGTTTTTATAATCTTATCTTCTCTAATTTAGAAGAAGAGTGAATCTCTATACTTTTAATTTTTCAGTGGATTACTTTGGTTAGTCCAGATCATGTAATTTTTTCCTTTTCTAGAATTCTTTCACATAAAAAAAATTGATTCTATTATGTTTCTACCTGTGTTTGTGTTGGAAAATTATACTGGGCTATGACTTTAGATTCTTTGAGCACTTTATAGTACGCCATAATGTTCAATTTTGTATATTCAAATAACAATCATGATCATTCTTTATTGATATAATTTATCTTTAACTTCCCTATGCAATTTAGGTATCGTTCAAATATAATTAATTAGTGATTGGATTTACTTAAAAAATGTTAACAGATCTGTTTTATTCATTGACAAAGTCATTGCCCAATTTTAATGAAACATTAGAAGACAATTTTATCAGATTATTACCATGCCTCGACATTCCCCCTTACAAATACAAAGTATCAATTCATTATCGATTAAATAATAATAAGATCCGAGATGATCAATGAACCGTTTTTTTAAATTCTATTTCTTATGATAATAAGATCTGAGATGATCGCACCATTCTTTTTTTTAGATTGCTAACAGGATCGATCATCGCACATGAAATGATGCATGCTTGGATGCGACTCAAAGGTACTTTCTTTTATTTTTCATCAATGTGGTCTTGTTCTGTTGTGATGGGCATTAATCACCTCAAAAAATTACTTTTATTTTGATTAGCATTCATTTTGCACCAATATGTATTCATTTTTTTAACCTTTTAAACACACGAAGAGCAAATTTTTTTTTTTTAATTTTAAAATCATTATACTTTGTATTAAAAAAACCTGAGCTTTTGAGGGACTTAAGGCTTGCACCAAGCTATACCATGTTAGCTTGGAAATATGAGATTGAGGAGGTTCGGCATAATGTGGCAATGATAGGGGTAGGTGTAGTGGTGAAGAATTTGGTGCAGTGGGGAGGATGAAATTTTTGTTGGACCCGCACAAAGGGGCTTCTATGGATGAGGTGGGAACTAATAGAGGAGGAGGTAAATAAGATGTAGGGGAAGATGTGAGAGTATTGGATGATGAGGTTTGATGATATGGAAATATGTTTTTATCAAATTTTTCATGTCTAGTTATGTAAATTTTCTGGAATTGAGGATCGAGACATATGTAGCCTTTTTGAGTGGTGGCATAACCTAGAAAAACATATTGTTTTGGCAAGGGGGAGAGTTTGTGTTTAAAATAGGGATGCGGCCAGGCAAAGCATTGACGTCCAAAGACTTTGAGATGATTGTAAGTTGGGGGTTTACCATGAAAGCATTCATACGGAGATTTAGATTAAGTGTTTTTGGATGGTAACCGATTTATTAAGTACATGCAGTGAGAAGAGTGTCAGTCCATAATGAATGAGGTAAGGAGGCCTCATGCAGAAGAGTACAAGTAGTTTCGAGAAGTTGAAAATGTTTAGGTTCATCGACACTATTCTGTTAAGGAGTATACGGGCAAGTATATTGATGAGAAATACCATATTGTTTGAGGAAATTGTGAAAGTTATAATTATACTAACTAACCAATCAATTCTTAGAATTTTAATGTGAGTGTTAAATTGATTTTCAACAAATTGTTTGAACTCAATGAATTTTGCCAAAGTATCATTTTTATTTTTGAGTAAATAAATCCAAAAAAATGGAGAGTAATCATCTACAAATATCACATATTATTTGAATGATTGTAAAGAAGAGATTGGGGATGGACCCCATACATCAAAATGTATAATGGTAGAGGATGAGAAACTCGAGAGGTAGAAACTGAGAATGGAAACTTGTGAGTTCCATGTGACATGAAGTGCATCTGGTTAGTTGAAATGGTGTAAAGATGGAATACAACTCGTAAAGTGATTGTTGAACTTGATGGCTGGGATGGCCAAGACGTTTATTCTAGAGGTTTGGTACTTGTTGAACTGTGAGGAGGGCCAAAGATCTTGTGGAAGGAGTATCCAATGGGATAGAGTCCTTGCATACATGATCCTTCAAGAATGGTTTTGCGAGTCTGTAAATCCTAAATAGCATATTCATTAGCAGTAAAAATAATAGTACAAGAATTATAAGTAAGTTTGTGAACAGATAAAAGATTACAAGCTAAATTAGGAATGTTGTGAATGTTGGTAAGTAATAACTTATATGTCGAGGTAGTTAGCATGCCAGGACCGCTGTTAGCAATTGAGAGTTGTTGTCCATTGTCATTTGTGATAGAGCTGTCCCCGATATAGTGTTGTGGTCGGGAGATGTGAGTTGAGTTAGATGTGAGATGCTTAGAAGCGCTGCTGCCAGAATACCAGGAATTTTTTGACGAGGAGCTGAAATCAGTGATGAGAGCCATGGGTGATTGATGATTTTAGTCATGATGTTGCCAACACTTGACAATAGAGTGACTTGGCTTATTACAGATCTGACAAATAATCTTGTATCGATTTGAAAAGGTGGTTGAGAGACTGGGACAGCAGCCAAAGTGTTGTTGGACCGAGAATTACTGTCGCGGTTGGAGGTGGGAGTGGGCTGCCTAAATTTGCCATGATTGCGAGTGGATATGAGGGCCGCAGAATTCTCAAAGTCATTGGCCATTTCTTGTGCAAGTTTGAGTTCTTTGCTACACAAAAGAATAAAAAGATCATCTAGGTTGAGAGGTTGGAGATTGGTACGGATAACAGTCTTGAAGGCATGGTAAGTGGAAGGAAGGTCGTTTAAGGTATAGAGAATAATGCCTTTGCGTTTTATGACCACACTGGTGGCAGCTAACGTATCTACTCACTGTTTGATGTCCTAAAGATATTATCATTGTCTTGCCTTTCATCTTGAGGTGATGAAGCTCGTTCTTGATTTGAGGTATGCGCAACCAATTGGTTGATTGATGATGACGATCAAGAGTATTCCAAATAGCTGCACATGTGTCAAGATTGAAAACATAAGGAAGAATTGAAGGGATATAATTGAATAGAGAGCAGCGACAAGATTTTGGTCAATTGTCACCCATTGAGTGTTATCAGGATTTGCGATCTGGAAGTATCAAGTAATGAAGGAAGATGGTTGATAATTTTTGGTCAAAAAACCGTCATACCCATTGGCTTTGAATAATTTCAGCAGTTGAGATTTCCATGTGATGTGGTTTTCAATAGTTAAAGGGGTAGAAGTGCTATTCTTGATGTGAGTGATAAGGAATTTAAGTTGGGTAGGAATGGGCCGGTCACAAAGTAGAGAATTGGAAGTGATCGAAGGAGAAGCGATGTTGGCAGAAGAGTTGAAGACGGAATTCTTATTGCCGGAGTCAAGAAATTATAAAAGAAGAAGAGATGCAAGAGAAGCAGATTGAAGAAAAAAAAGGACTGAGCAGAGAATTCAAAGGCTTAAGGAAATATTTGGTTGAAGAGGACATTAAAGAACATGTTAATTCGTGTTTAGAACAAATTCAGAGGCTTGATGAAGAACTGAGCAGAAAGGCAATGATGGGTTTCTTGGACAAGAGTTGAAATAATGTCTGGAGTCAATGAAATGCGAATTTCTGCTGTGAGTAGCAGCACACGCAGGAATGAAGGCTTCCGTACATAAGGGGGAGAAGAAATGCCGTGAGGCAATGAAGCTTTGATACCAAGAAAGACATTTGAGGCTTCTTGGAATCGTAAATCGGAAACCAGAATACAGAGAGAGGATAGAAGAGAGGAGGAAAAGAATAAGACACAGGAATGAAATAGAAGAACCAATCTTATTATATTCAGCGCGGGCGCCCCCACACACACACACATGCACAGTGAAATCAGATGAAAGCCTAAGGAATAAGATAACATAAACTAAATACAGATAATGCTAGCAGCTATATGTGTGCTTGTATTGCATCTAAAACCTAAAAATTTGGATTTTTTCAATTACAGGTTATCGAAGCCTCCGTCCAGACGTGGAAGAGGGCATTTGTCAGGTTCTGGCTCACATGTGGCTTGACTCCGAGATCATGTCAGGCTCAGGCAGCAACGCTCCATCTTCTTCCTCATCTTCATCTTCATCTTCATCGGCACCATCATCCAAAAAAGGCACAAGATCACAATTTGAGAGAAAGCTCGGAGAATTCTTCAAACACCAGATCGAATCGGATTCTTCCCCTGCTTATGGAGATGGTTTTCGTGCTGGTAATGAAGCAGTGCTCAAGTATGGTCTCAGAAGTACTCTGGATCATATTAAGTTGACAGCAAGCTTCCCATTATAGAAAAAAAAAAAAAAAGAAACCAAAGGGAGAGAAAACCTACTAGGAACTACTTATAAACATTTATGCGAGAATTCCTCCTTATCATTTGTTATCAGTATATATCAAGCATGAAAACTGATGCATACAAATCTCAATTGCATACGACCAGACATTAAATTACCTATATATATATAGATATGATGAAGGTAATAAATTGAGTACAAGAAAGTGGAGATTTGTATTTAATATTTAGGTGTATATTGTATGGTTAATATAGTGCTTGTCATCATTTTCTCTGTATTGTAGAAGGTGTATGAACATATTATATGTATGAAATATATTTACAAATATTGTGCAAGCCGTTGTTGATCGATGATTTAATTTTATGTTTGGCTTACTATTATGAAGTTGGATATTTACATGCTTCTTTTACTTATTCTATCATTCTTATCCGAACCTTTTTGTATTTTGACTGCATTTTTTATCTAATTCTTGATATAAAGGTGCTATAGTGTTTGAAACTAGATTATTTCTAACTAAAATAAAATAATAATAATAATAATGAAGTGATGGTAAATAGTCTTTATTGCTATGTTTTTGTTTGTTTACATTTATGATTGTAATCACTTTGCTTTTGGGGTAATGATTATTGATATTATCTGAAAGTTTATTTGATATATTTTAATTAAAAATCTTTAGGCTTATGATTATTATTTTATTATAGAGGATGGATATGAGGCTAATTAAGCCCAAATTAAATTATGAATAGATAAAAAATTCATGACATTATTTGAGAAATCAAATAATATCTAAATTGCATTTTATAATAGTCAAAATGAACCTTTCAATGAATGGAGCTTAAATGAGTAATACATTAAGTTTTGATGTTATTAAGATGATTAAATGCTTAAAAAATGTTTTATGATCAAGTAAATTGATATAAGCCGCTCAAAGAAGTGTGTGAAGATTTTGGTTAAAATTATCAAAATGTCACTTTAAATATTATAAATAAATCCCATTTTCACTTGAAGGGGATAAGAAATGGGAGGGGCAGTGAGTGGAACTTAGATTTGGACTTGAATTTGGAGTTGGAAAGAGCTCTACTTGATGGTCACTTTTACGATCGCTATTGTTTGATCACAGTCATCTAAATTCCCTTGCCCCACCACAAACACTTCACTGTTTCCGCCCATCATTTTTGCATGAATAACATCGCTTGCTTGATCACAATCGCCTAACACCATCGCTAGACAACAACAATAGCCTAGCTAATGATAACTGACTATAATTGCTTGACCAATGTCACTTAATCATAGTCGATTGGCTACCATTGATTGGCTATAGCTGATAGGCTATCAATATTTGACCATCATCTCTCAAATACATTTTAGTTATTATCTTTGTTTGATTACATTCACTTGATTAATATTGCTTAACCATAGGTGTCTGATTGCCATCACTTGATTATAATTGGCTAATTATTGTTCCCTGTCAAAATTCATGGCTAATCTTGTGCATGTATAAATTTGGCCACCATCTTTTGACTAGTTACTAAACTAGACGATGTTAGTCTCTAAAATTGTCAAACCGTCATCTTCTGACTAACACCACTTGATGTAACTCCCTTAACTAACGTCTCCTAACCACATTCACATGGTTACTCTTATTCAACTAAAATGTCTAACCACAATCTCTTGATTACCATGTTTGATCATAATTACCTAATTAACATTTTCAATCACAAGTGCCCTACTATTTCTTTTTTTTTTTAACTCATACACACATACTCGAATTTGCTAGACTTTGAATACAAGACATTATCGTTGGAGACAAAGCACCTAACCATTTGATCAAATGGCTTACATGTTGTTCGGTTACCCTTGCCCAACCATAATTCCCTAAATAATATGTTCTATCACAATTGTTTAAATATGATCATCTAATCATCATTATTCAATCATATTTGTCTGACTAATGTCAACCAATTATAGTTACCCAGCTACTATCATCCGACCATAGTCATCTGATTTTCATTATTCGAGTACAATCATTCAACTATAGTCGCTAAAGTATAATCACTTGACCATAATTATCTGGATACAAACATCAAACCAAAGTCACCATATTAGCATCACATATAACAATTATTGGACTACTATAATCTAACTGCAATTACTTAACTATTATTACCTGACAATAGCTGCTTAATTATCATTGCTTGATTATCATCACTTATATATAATTTTTTGACTGTCATCAACCAAGCATCATCATTTGACAAATATCTCCTCACCACCATTAACATACTTCATCATATGCCATCACTAATAAAGTTAGCATAGGTGATTGCTTATAAAGCTGATGCATGCCATTTACACTAGTATTGACACTTATTGACTTTAACGTTTGTTATTAATATCAAGACTAACATAAACCATCAATATGAATGATTTTTCAATCAAGTTTATCATATGAAATCACCATTAGTGTCAATTCACATTCTCAAAATCAAAACTAATTCACCATAACTTTACCAATTATCATTGCCAATTAAGTTGATGCATATTACAAGCACCATGCACCCAATTATCAATATTTACAAACAACTGAATCACAACTATAATTGAGTATGTCATCCCCTTCATTACCTTACACTCATCCATGTTAACCCTAATGGTAACTATTTCTCTCAAAACGTTCTCTAAAATTGAGAGATTTTATAATAAAATTTGAAGCGAACTTCAAATTTTGCGTGCATTTTCTAGTTAAATTTGTTCTCCTTGGGCAATGTCACAACCAAGATCTAAAAAGGACAGTAATGGCCTAAAAATAAGTACATTCATGGGACGAAAAAACAAAAGAAAATTGCATGTAAAGAAAAAGCACGTCATAAATTATGACTTTTACAAAAATATCAAAACATTCATCATCACTTCAGCATAAAAATTATCTTAATCATCTCAAAAGTCATTCATGGCTTTCAAACTCCCTCCTAACTTCAGCTTATAGGCCGACAATGACTTTACATTGATGTCTTCTTTGATTTTCAAAGACGTTAATGCCCACCTCAATACTAACTTTTGATTTGGTATAATCAGCCTTTTGACTTTGGGTGAAGGTTAGTACAGTTGTCCAGCTCGGCTTGATCCCTTTTTCCTAACCTTTTGAAGTCATCACTTGTCTGATTTCAATGCCTTCAGTTTCACTATCATTGATCTTTAATAACTATAGGGAATATTCAATTATGCATCAAGCTCCATCTTTGATAGTATTTTAAATGTATACTAATCAAATCATTTTTACTTGGTTTTAATCATCCTATGATTTTTTTCTTGTTTTTTTGGGTTTTAATTAGGGGTGCTTATTGTTTAGGTTCCCCAAAATATTCGTAGAAGCAAAATCTATTTATAAATTTTAGGTTATGATGTCCTGATTGATTAGACTAGAAATTAAATCCTATCATTAGATTGTTGAAGGGATCCCTCTGATCGATCAATATGTTGATGATCTTATAGATTTGGTGATATAATAATTAAGTGATCTTGAGCATGTCAAATTTTTCTCGCCAAGGAACTTAATCTACTAAACCACAAGATTTAAGGGATGTTAAACCTTTTTAGTGATCTTAAATTTTAAAAAAAATTTCAAAGTATTTTGTTTGTCCATTTGAAAACAACAAAAATTAAGCTCTAATTACATTTATAAAACTCAAAATAGTTGAAAAAAAAAATGTTAGGAAGGTCTCAATCAGATGAGCCTCTAATCATGCACAACAATAAGTGAGTTGAGCTCGATGAGCTGATAAGCTAAACTCAAAATAGCGCCAAAGCAATTTGATAGTTCTAACGCCGTCTTATTGAAGAAAATATAAATATTTTGGATAATTAGATGCATAGATAGAGTAGGCTTGGATACTGAGAATCTGATGAATTATTGTGCGTCGCGATTAACCATTGAGAATTTGATAAAAATTGAGAATTTGATAGCACTTGAAAAGTGATGAATTACATAGCACCTGAAAGTGATGAATTATTGTGCGTCGCGATCAACCATTGAGAATTTGATAAAAATTATAAAATTATGGATTGGGGTTTTATCATGAATTTTGATATTTGAATGAAAATTTCAAAAAAAAAAAAAAATCAAATCATTGAGAACTTCAAATCATTGAGAACTTAACATTGAGAACTTAATAAAAATGAAAAATATGGATTGGGGTATTATCAAGAATTTTGATATTTGAGTGAGAACTTGGAAAAAAAAAAAGGGGGATGAAAGAGGGTGCTAGATTTGTAGATAGCAATAGTTTGGGTGCTATGTTTATAAGAAAATCTTATAAAATATACTCAAAACATATTAAAATTTAAGGCTTTTTCTATAAATCATTAAAAATATTTAGAAATTTACCATTGTATATTGTATATCAAACAATTTCTTATTATTAATATCATAATTGTTCATTTTATTATAACATAAATTTGAATTAATATTGATACGCCTACAAAAAATCTCTGTCATCCAGCATGTATGTCGAGGCATGACAAGTTCTCGAGAACTTTTTATGCAAGTTATACTCAAATTTTGAAAAAAATTCATCCAAAAGACCAATTTCAACAAACTTTCAGTCAAACTAACTGACTTAATGAGAAGAAACCAATAGTATCAAAATTGGTCAAATTCGAGTCAAAGCAAGCTTAGATTAACCCGTTACACCGCTTTTAAAAGTTTTTTAGATGCATTTCTAAGGTCAAACAGATGTCAAATTTGGCGAGTTCATAGTCGAATCGAACGTCTCGACAAGACGAATCCAATGAGCCTAAAATCGCTCAATTCCAACATCATTAAGGCAATCAAATGTCTATCAAACACTATCTGATCGAGGGAAGTCCTATAAGCGGTCTAATTTTAGTGGCTCATATTTCTTTGTTAATTGTACAAAAAAATTTATAAATAAAGCCTTCACCCTTTCATGAGGGAGAAAATATTACATTTGGACTCCCGATATAATTTGCGTCCAGAGTTCAATGGTGGGGCGACACATGTCAAGTGAGCCCCACCGCAATACAATGACATTGACCAATATTAAGAACGGTGGGGCTCACTTGACACGTGGTGCCCCACCATTGGACTCCGAATGCATCCGAGTCCCTATGTAATATTTTTTCTTCATGAGGAGGGAGGAGAACTAGAAGCTTGAGGAAAAGCTTGAAGTTTTGAGAAGCAGTTGAGGTCCAGCATCACTCCAACTGCTATCGACCACAATCGACCATAGTCGACCAACACCAATCACCGTCAACCGCCATCTGTCGGCCACCACCAATCGCTATTAGTCTCCTTTTGTTCCATGCTACAAGTTCATCCGCATGTCTGCATTGTAACTTGGGACTTGGGAGACCTTATAACCCTCTCCCGTCTATGAGACAATTGACTGTATATGTAATATCTAGTTTATAGTGAATTTCTTGATTCGGCTCAGGTCCCGTGCTTTTTTCCTTTCACGAGTTTTTCATGCAAAAACTTATTGTGTTTTTACTAGCTATTTTCTTTCAACTGTATTGAATTCTCATGCAATGTTAATATGACAATCCATTACTCTTACGGGTTACAAATTTTTTAGTACATCAAATATTATTTTCTCCCTTTTCCAGTAAATATTTTCTCTCTTTTCCAATAAAGAAGCTCACACATCAACGAAATCCTACCTATAGAATAAAGCCCGATTGGGTGGCTCCCTTCACACCCCTACTTATGATTAACAACTTTTATTCTCCATCAAAGAGAAGCTTATGCTAAAAAAAAAACAGAAAGCTAAAAATAGTATTTTAAATAATATAATTCAGTACGAATTATACATTAATTAGCTAATAAATAATACTGAAAAATAGTAAACAAAATACTGATATATTCGGTTGGAGAAAAATTTACGTACGTAAGATTTTTGTAGAGCTGCATACATCAGATATTATTCAAAGCGTATTGCGGGATTATAGGTAAGTTATAGAGATGTTAAAAAGGTATAACGTGAATATAACACCCAACACCCTCCGAATAATCTTTGATATACACAGCTCTACAAACTTCTTCCGTACACAAAATTTTCTCCCTCACTTGGTCATCATGATCTTAAACTCCCAAAAATCCAAACCCCCATCCCCATCCAAATCAAACGGCTTTATCATCGCCTCGCAATCCTTGACGGTCCGATCCTCCCCCAGCCGCCGAATAAAAACCCTCTGCAACCCCGCCGGCGATATCCTCCCCGACCCTTTCTCCTCCTCAAACTCCTCAAAAGCTCGCCGGAGCTCCTCCTCGCTCTCCTCCTCCGCCGTCATCATCGCAACGAAGTCGTTGAAGCCGATTAGCCCATCGCCGTCGATATCGAGCCCCGCCAACGCTGCGGAGGTTTGTTCCGGCTTGAAGTGCTCCGATCCGCCGTCGGATGAGAAGATGGAACGGAGCTCGTCGGCGGAGAGTTTTCCGTCGTGGTTGGCGTCGAAGAGGTGGAAGATTTGGCGGAGGTGTTGGGTTTTGGTTTTGAGGCGAAGGGGGGATGGTTTGGGGGAGGATGCAGAGTGGCGGAGGAAGGGTGGGAGAGTGATTTTGAACTTTTTGCGGGGATTGGGGGATTTGGGGGAGGGTTTCCTGGTTGGGGAAGACATTGCGGTGATGCAGGGGGAGCATAAACGATGATTTAAATAGAAAATTTTTGGACAGCAACACTGGAAAAATATTTTAGTATTGCGTGCTTACGAAGATTATTTGGGTATTAGAGGGGTTATCTCGTTGTTACTGAAGCTAATAATTCCAATAACTTCACAAAATCCTCGAATAACATGAAAAGAGATGAGTGTCAAACCGCATAATGTATTGGTAGATTATTAGAAGATTATTGAGATGTTATCGGGTTAATGTTGTGAAAAACGACGACAATAAAACGAAAAATGGAACAGTAAAATTGCACGCAGAAAAACATCAGAGCAACACACAAATTTACGTGGTTCGGCAAATTTGCCTACGTTCACGGAGCTGCAGAGGATTTTATATTTTCTAGGAATTACACCATCGAGCGTCTCGACATTTACAAAAAAAATCTTTATTTTTTTCTCTCTTCCTCTCTCTCTCTCTCTCTCTCTTTTCATCTCTTTCTCTTAACTCTAAAGAGGACTTGGTTTGGTCTTGCTTGACTTGTGTCTTTTCCTTTAAGCCAAAAAAGACTATTTATAGAAAACATGAGAGTGGTAGGTGGGAGGTATGTGGGATGTGGTTGGTGAACGGTAGGTGGAAAAGTATGTGAGCAGTAGGTGAGATATTTAATTAGGAAGCTAATTAAATTCCGGTGAACCGGATCTCCACATTACCCAACAATTCTCTCACTTGGAGACTGGGACGCTGACTGCGTCACCTACTGGTTGCATCACCTACTGGTTGCATCATCCACTAGCTATACCGACATTTTCCTCAAACATGATATCCTCCACCTCTACAACTCGAAGCCCTAGTTTTCATGCCAGAAGACCAGCTTAAGTTGAGCACAACCTCAGCTTCTTACGAGTAACACCCTTAGTTGACATATCACCATTAACGTAGCATTCTACTACCAAGCTCTTTCCTGGGACTCCTGTATCTGCTTATAGCTCCCACTGCAAGAGCAATATCCTATATCTGTTGAAAGCCCTTTTCAACAAGTCTAGCCTTGTACCTCTTATTGCCACCAAACACAGTCTTCACCCGGTACACCCACTTATTATGCAATGCTTCCTTGGTGGAAGTTTGGTGGAAGTTCTGCTAGCTCCCAAGTCTGATTCTCTGACAGAAAATCTCTCTCCTCCTTCTTGGTCAGCTCCCTCTTGCTCGAATTCTCATCTTGCAAGATTTCTTTATAACTCTGTGGTTCTCTATCATTTGTTATCATTTGTCTGTACAAGGTCTACAAGGTCCGATTTTCCTACATTTGGCGCTCTACCACTTTTCAGGAAAAAGACATTTTTTTGCTTCCCCATAATGCATCTCTGACTCATATGTCATTGCCTGAGTAAATCTGTAGTCATATATATTGTGTCAGTTTTCTTATCCCGAGCCAATACCAATGCTCATTTGGTAACCTCCAGGTGTTATCTGTGAACACTACCGAATGACCACCATTATTGCGCTGCCCAACAGAGATGAGGTTTTTCTTCAATTCAGGAACGTGTCTGACCATTTGTAAAGTCCATTTGCTCTTGTTAAGGAGTATAATATCAACGTCTCCCATCCTCACCACATCCAGAGTTTTTCCATCAGCCAGATATACCTTCCCAAAGTTACCTGCAACATAATTTTGCATTAACTCCCCGTGGGAAGATGTATGGAAGGAAGCCCCTGAATCTAGTATCCAGTCATCAACGGAACTGTTAACTGTCAACAATAGCGCATCATGTATTTCTTCAGTTACAATATTAACGTCATAATTCTCCTTCTTCTAAGGATTCATGCAGTTCCTTTTTATGTGGTCAGCCATGCCATAATTTCAGCAGGTTGCCTGCTGACCAAACTTTGATTTTGATTTCCTCTGTCTGAGTTCCTGTCGTGTGATCTCCCTCTAGACTCAACATTCAGCGCCGAACTGAAACACGAGGCCTCGCCAGAATCCTTCCTGCGCACCTCCTCAGCCAAAATCAAATCACGAATATAATCATATTTCAATTTAGATTTACCTGCAGAACTACTAACTGTCATTCTCATGATTTCCCAACTATTTGGCAATGAAACCAACAATATTAGCGCACGTATCTCATCATCAAAATCAATTTCAACAGACGACAACTGATTTGTGATAGTGTTGAAATCATTTAGATGTTGAGCAACATACACACCTTCCGTCATCTTCAAGTTGAATAACTTTTTCATCAGATGCACCTTGTTATTCACCGATTGCTTTCCATACATACCTGATAAAACTGTCATGAGATCTGCAGTAGTCATCTCCTTGATGACGTTATGGGCAACCGATCTTGACAGGGTAAATCGAATAACCTCTAGAACCTGTCGGTTCAACAGATTTCATTCTGCCTTGTCCATCTTTTCTGGTAGTTTTCCCAGCGAAAGATGAAGTTTCTTCCTATAGAGACAGTCCTCTATCTACATCCTCTAGTAAGCAAAATCTGTGTCATTGAACTTCTCGATCCTTGATGTCATCTCTTCATCTCCGTCCATCGTTCTTCCTTAGATTCAAACCCAAGCTCTGATACTCTGCTCTGATATCAGTTGTTGTGAAAAATGACGACAATAAAGCGAAAATGAAATGAGTAAAATTGCACGCATAAAAACATCAGAGCGACGCACAGATTTACGTGGTTCGACAAATTTGTCTATGTCCACGGAGCTACAGATGATTTTATTTCTTCGAGGAATTACACTGTCGAGCGCCTCGACGTATATAAGAAAATCTCTATTTTCTTCTCTCCCTTTCACTCTCTCTCTTCCTCTCTTTCTTTTAGCTCTCAAGAGGACTTGGCTTGGCTTTGCTTGGCTTGTGTCTTCTCCTTTAAGCCAAAAGAGGCTATTTATAGAAACCATGAGAGCGGTATGTGGGAGGTAGGTGAGCGGTAGGTGGGATGTGGTAGGTGAGCGATATATTTAATTAGGAAACTAATTAAATTTCGGTGGACTGGGTCTCTACATTACCCAACAGTTAATACTCCCAATAACCTCTCAATAACCCCTAATAACTTAGTTATTGGGAAATTATTATAGGTCATACACACACAAAATTGTGTGAGTATGACGTACGTAAATAGCGCTCGCAACATTGTGAGGTCTATGTATATGCTATGGATTTAGGAGGATTTATATACATAATAAACACTCAATTTTTATGTATTTGTGCATATCTAATACGTAAATTTTAATTTTTATTTACATACATAATATGATAATATTTTATCTTCCATGAAAATATGTTCTTCTATGAGTTAAAATGATGATATTTTTTTATGATGAGTGATTTGAGTGATAATAATTTAAAAATAAAGTTTGTGTTTGATATGTGTGCATAACAAATTGTGTGGTGCATATGCATGTAAATGCCCCTAAATTTTAATATCGCTTGTGCAAGACCCTCCTGCTATGCAGGACCATTCGGATTTAGTATTAGAGGTTATATCATTTATATAATAATAATAATAATATTATTATTATTATAAATAATAAAATTATTATATAATATATTATATAATTTTATTAAATAAACGCCACCCCCTAAGGGACACATATGCTCCTTTTAAAAAAAGCGTGCTTCTTATGCTAATCCGCCTTATTAACCTCCTCATTCCCATAATTTGGCCTTCATATTTTGAAGTAATTATGACGTTTTTATTTTCATAATTAAATATCAAAACTTAATTGTTAAAGCCTAATAAATGTGAGGCATGCACGTAAATTCTCCTAACTTTTTGTGTTTTCTTTTGTTATATGTTATTGGTCTTATTATATTCTTGGATCTTAAAACACTTCATCAACATCAAACTAGTGATCATATATCTAATTATTTTATGACATGTTCTCTTGTGAAGAGTTTTATAATTTAAGATTTTGTTTGGGGCAACTGCAACTTATTGAATAATTTACTTGTAAGTTGATTAAAAATAATCTCCCGATAAGCTAGGTGCGGTGGCCATTATAAATTTTTATTTTTTGAAAAAGTCAGGCCGCAGTCAGAAAGCTGTCACCACATCTAGACAGGTGCGGTGTGAAACGCTGTTTTCAGCGTTTTGAAAACGCATAAGCTGTCAAAACGTAATTTACCCAAACATGTCAGTTGCGTTTTCATAATGTCACCGAACCAAATAAGCTGCCCCAAACATACTCTAAATGTCTAATCCATCAATCTTTCTATCTCGATCATCATAAACTTATTCAAATAATTTTCAAATATATTCCCTCAAAATAAGAAGTATGGCTTATAAATATGTTCATTCGTTAGAGGGTGCATGACAATGGCCACCCCTTCTATATTATCACGATCTAGCATGGCACGTAGGCTAATTTATTAGCTTTATAAGCACGTGAAATATATTTTCTTCAATATTATATATCTCCATATTGTACAATATATATTTAGTCTGTCATAATGGCCATACCATTTTTAAATGACTTTTATTTTGGTATCCAATAAAGTTATTCCATATGGATTTCCTTGTGTTATTATTGTTATTATTATAATAATTATTTTTTTTTGGACTTTAGCACTGCATGGCCGGCATATAATATTAATTTCTTGAGTTTTATGATACATTTTTAACATCAAGTTTATATTATACACCTTTAACAGTAATTTAATATATAGGAAAAAAACTACATACAACATACCACTCAATTCTTATATATTTACACATCTAATACATATAATTGGATTTTTATACTTATAATACTTTAATATCATAATTTTTTGCATTAAAATATAGATTTTACTTTTAAAAGTAAAAAAAATGATGATATATTTGAATTTTTGTTAAAATTTTTGGGATTATAAATGTAAATATGAAAAGTTTAATTATCAGATGTGTAAATACATAAGAATCGTATGGTATGTTTGTAAATGCCCCTAGTTTATGGAAAAATATTATATCATGATAACGTAGAGCTACGTTCAGAGTCCACTGATATGCAGGCACGTGGCTTCAAGGAAGCACGCACGCTTTCCTGTGATCCGACCCGATAATAT